ATACTGCTTGGGTCCTTAGACTAGGATCGGACTGTATAGGCCCTTGAAGAAAATGCCATGCATGTCGAAACTCGGGATGCTCTATGTCCTAGGTCCGATGCCAAAGCGAGCCCTTGCCATAGGCGCAAGCAATCCTGCCCAGCCGGGGGCCCCTATACCAACTAGTCGGCTCAATTTTAAACCCCTTGGGCTGTTGCTGCTATTAGATTCGGGCCTTCCGAAGCTGTTGGATGCGAGCCCCTTAGGCTGCTGCTGCTGCTGCTGAATTTAAAGCTTTTTGGTCAGGTCGATTGAAGCTGCAAGAAGGTCAGCTACAGCTGTCAAGCCTCCTAGAGCCTCCTTTTATTTTTCCTCCGGGGAACCGGCAATCGGCAAGCGTGGGGATTGGTATCATGCAGCCTGTTCGTGGACAAAAAGCCGGCAACGACTCCCATGGCTTTTTCATGTCTGGTTTGAGCCATTCACATGGTGACTAATTTTCAGTAGCAGTCATGTCGCTTCCTGATGACTCGCTCATATTCCTCCCCGCAACCCTACATAAAGGCAAGGCTTGCAGTGAGGAAAAATGGCAGCGAATGCTACCGGGTGCAAGTCAAGTGTCCTTGGCTTGCAGGTTTGGCATCTGCAGCCGCGGAAAGCACGTGAACGTGTGCTTTCGAGCGGAAACAGGAGAGTCCATCTATTCAAAAACCAAAGTCAGCACATGCCAGCCCATCGGCGGTTTCGTTGGTGTAAAAATCCAGAGACATGTCACTATCCACGTTAGTAAACCATGACAAGGGCAGCGGCCAAACACGAATAAATTTCAGCCCATGAACAAGGGTTGTCCAGAGTCATAATCCGCAAGACCGGGTAGCCAGTCAAGCAGAGCCAAGTCGGCGCTACTCCGCATCGTTATAATACATGATCCGGTTCTATTCGCTATTCCGCCATATATGTGCCCCATCCCTTGCGGGGGACGTATAGTATGCTCGCAAAGTGCGTCATGATGTTCCTAAACGCCGATTCAACCAGTATCTTGTGTATCGGTATAATGCTGATAGTGGCTTTTTTTTTAGTCAGAACAAGGACCGATATTCTGTTCATGTACATGCTTGATGTATTCTCGTTGTCGGCGGAAGGAGGAATAGTCTCCCTTTAAAATGGCCTCGAGAACACCACCCTTTTCAGGATTAAGCGCAATCTCCTTCATTCGGTCTCGCAAGGTAGAGTATGCGTCCGCAAAGCGCGCCACTATCGAGTTCGTATTCGATGATCCACCAGAGATATCGTTGCTAGAATTATTGGGATCAATAATGGACAACCGATCTCGATTCCTGTAATTCAAGGTCGCAACATCAGACTAAGGCGCAAATTAGCAACCGCAGCAAAGTTCCGAGCATAACCCCCTAGCCATGATGGTTTTTTTTTTGGAAGCTGGGGTGAAGTGCATATAGTCCTCACCTTTCGAATATACCCAACTGGTTTCGTGAGCGATATTGCATTCGTCTCGTATTGGAACTGACGACCGTAGAGCTCAAAAAACTCAAGCAGCATTTCTCCCAGATGGTGTTCCGGAATCAGGCTCCTGCTTTGAACATGAGGCATCATCTGTAGCATGCTCACAACCAGGCAAATGACTGAAAACCCGCCTATTCCCCCATTTACCGGCTCATTCAGACCACGCATTAACAAAAAATGCTTGATCACAGTGACGAGTATAGGCATGGCAGGGTATTGCTTCTTCCAGGACAGGAAAGTATCAACAGCAGTTACGCCACCCAAGTTCTCAAACGAGACATCCACCTTCAGTCCCGTGAGCCTGTCTACAAACTTCACCAGTGGTATTCGAGCATGTGCAATGACCTCAATAGAATCGCTGTCTGCAACCTTCTGCATGACAAGAAACTTTTGGAACTTATACAACCAACTCTTGGCACTGAGATAAGTCGGCGGCCCGCCGCGCATGTAGCTAGCTGAACAGACAACAAGGTCCATATCCGCCGTGGGGAGATACAGGCCGGACATGAAAGAGCCGAAAGGATGCACTTGTGCGGAGGCAAAGTTTCGTGCATCTCGTCTCATAGCTTTGCAAAGATTTTCGACAAGGTTGTCCCGAATTTTCTGTTCAAACGCTCGTGGCCGCACATAATCGTAGAAGTCGAGGATTTCCTTGTGTAACCTGCGTTGGAATGGTCAGCTCCATTGGTCAATCCACGGGTAGGTTCGAAATTGCCTCACGTACCGAAACGCCATGTTACGTGTAGCGGAATGGTCTATCGTTTGCCACGGACAGGGATCCTCGTTCTTCTTTGGAAGCCACGTGGGTGTGACGCTACCTTTTGAAGGCTTCGTACTGGCTTTCTTGAGCTGTCCATAGTCTGGGTAGTCTGGGGGTTTGATTTCATCATCTGCAGTTCGCTTCCGAGATCCAAGCGGACCTGAGTGATCTGGGACCGGAAGGCCATTGCGCCCGTTTCTGTCATCCGGGTGCTTGTGGTTAAATGAAGCTGGGGCGGGAGGGGGTAAGGGTGGCGGAGGCTCTGAGGGCGGAGGCGGTATTTCTGCCACGCTGTCGTCATCGTCATCCTCCTCCTCTTCTTCATCCTCGGTAGTATCGAATGATAGGAAGTCTTCAGCTTCGGTTGATACCTTGGCCTTGGCGACACCCTCTACCCTGGCTTTTCGAATTAGTTTGACTACATCGCGCTTCTTGCGCGTCGAGTCGTCTGGACAAGGCATGGCCGTATAGGGATCCGGGTTGGACCACTTGGGGACCGAGTTCGCTTCTTCGGATGCGTCATTCGTGCGCGCGCGTTTCCTGGACGGTCCTTCTGAATCCGATGCTGAGGAAATGTCCATTTCCAATTCGTCATCGTCTGATAGCTCGTCCAGGTCACGGAATTTGGCTCCGCCTTCTCCATCGTCAACACGCTCTTCGGGGAGGTTCAAGGTTGCGCCGGAAATGAGAGCCCGCTCGGAGGGGTGAGGCGGTTGCCAGCGTCTACCGGGTTTCCTCGGAGGGCCGCGTCGATCTCGTCGTGGGCCTTTATTATTATATTGGTGACCGTTGGGCGGAAGGTCCGGTATACCCGCAGGTTTGTTGAACCTGAAAGTAAAGTCTCCTTGTGGCACGGGCGGCCGGTAAGAATCCGACGAACGGTAGTCATTGCTTCGGAGACTATGTTGTCCATTACGGTCATCGCCCCCGCGGATTCCCGGCCTCCATGTATCGGAACGTGGAGGCGGCCTGTCGTAAGAACTTGAAGACGGCGCGAATCTTGGAGGCGACGGGCGACGGATTCCGTCTCGAGGACGGTCCCTATCGTCGTTGCGCCTCGCTTTCTTATTTCTCATGCTGCCTTATTTTTCAGCCAGTGGTGCAGGATATGCGCTGCAATATGAGTGCAGCTGAGGCTGACCGCTGAAAAAGGGTGAGTTAGCAAGGTCAAGTTGATTGAAGGCCTGAATCAATCTGGTGCGCGTCAGAAGATTTGATGGAAAATGTGCGGCGCGATAAAACGGTAATTTTAGTGGGGCGTTTTGGCGCGCCTGTGCCTGCCCAATGACTAAGACAACCGCCCAATCGCACCAGATAACATCGATGCGGGTCTCAGCATCAGCGAGGCGGCAAATGGCATGCGTGCCGAGCAAAACTACTCGAGGTTCTCCATTGTGACCGTGATCCAGCATGAACAAATACCCCCAGGCTCGGATAGGCCTGAGCCGCATCTATCCTGTCAATAACTTGTGTATCAAAATTTTGTTATATATGTCCGTCTCTAAATATGTCTGGTATTTCCCGATCAGTTGATCCCCGGAGGCACCACTAATGGCTTCAAATGTCACACCCCCCGCCTGCCAGGGAAAAGATAACGTTGGAGCTTGACGCCCTGCAACTAGGCTGAGCCACAACAGTGCCTCGTCATGGCATCTCAGCGCCGCCCAGCTGACATGGAGGTCTGGTCGCATAGACTCAGTTGTTAGTTAGTAGCTGCACAGTGGCCATTCAGAATTTCAGTGGTCCCGCCAGCGCCACCACTTCAAATGTGACTCGCGGTTCTTTTCAAATCGAATATCGCGAGTTCTCGACGTCAGCAGAGACTACATTATTGCTCATCGAAACCCCAAAAACGTCAACTTTTTTTTTCGTTTTATACTAAACCAAGAATTAACCTGGCGTTCCAACGGCGCAAGGTCCCACCAGTCCCATTTGATCATCGTTTCTGCCCCGGAATCCTCACAGACAACCCACCAGAGTCTGGGGAACATACGAAACAATGGGTCACACATCAGAACCAGACAGCGGGATGAAAAGGGCCGCTGAGGTGTCGGAGGCCATGTTATCGGTACCAGGATATGCGGATGACTCCATGTTCTTTACCGTCCGCTACGGACACAAAGCAAAGGTAGTACTTTAGAATCCCCTTGCATCACCAGCTGTCTATAACAGCCTAGGGACTGCTAGAAAGCAATGGCATTGACGATATCTCTAGGAGACGCTGAGAAAGTGTGATTATGACGAGTTGATGGAAACCCTGGACAAAATGACAGCGTTATGGTTAAAGAGTGGAGGAGGCGGTGCCAAGCCAGAGCCCGGTGCAGAGGAACGACATGCCCAAATCATGGAGCTGCGAAGGCATTGCTTGGAGATTATCAAGGACTTCCCCGACCTCGTCCGAGACTTTGACCGATTCCACGCCAGCTCCAAGGCTGCTCTGTCAGCAGTCATGCGATCCAACACTTAGGTGGTTTCGCACCATGCCGCGCATGGTACGTTGGATTCATGTCACTTTGGTATTGAGCGATTCTTTGATGGCTACTTGAGAATGTCCAAGGTAGGATTTGTATTATTATAAAGATTCAGGGTAGACTCCGAAAGTCTGTCATCTCCCATCAAGTTCCGGTGCAGCTTGTCACTGCGATATTACGAAAATAGAGTCTACATAAGTTACCGTCTAGCCCAATGTCACACAAGACGCCGCCCAAGTCGCAAAAACAAGAACCCCCCCGATTTGTTCTTATAGAATCAATGAAGCCATGACGACGGCAATGCCCATGGCCAACCATGAGTTTTGCGTGGTGGTCAACGCAGCGCCGGCGGTAGGCCCGGTGGTATGGGAAGAAGTCGGGACTGGAGGACGTCCAGTGCCTCCAGTGCCTCCGGTGCCTCCGGTGCCGCCAGCGCCGCCAGTGCCAGTAGGCAGGATGCCGCTCGAGTTGCCCGAAGGAACTGGTGATCCCGAGGCGGTTGAAAGAGTTGGATAAGTAACGGACGTGTCAGAGATGATCACTGCGGTCCCGTTGTCCTCGGGGGCAGTGGTTTCAGTAAATAGAGGCGGCGAGACAACAGTAGCGGTGAACTGAGACTCAGAGGTAGCGATCGGAAGCTCCGTGGGGATCAGAGGCTCAGTGGAAATAGACATGGCCTGAGTGAACGCAGAAGCTGCCAGAATGGCAGACAAGGTAGCGGTGGTTCGCATGTTGAGGGTTTAAAGTAAGGTCTTGCAAGGCCTCGGAAGCTGTCTGATGCTCTGGTTGCGCGTATAAGTGCAAAGGCCAGGCAAAACGGCGAACGAGTCTGGTGCTTTTGCTTGGGATAAATGTGTATAGCTAGGAGAGAGATGCCATGCTTCCAGCTCGAGTAGTGCGAGGCCTTTTACTTATAGCCCATACCGGGCATAGCGGCCAGCCCAAGAGGTTGGCGAGCAGATGTGCAAAGTTGCGGCTCATCATGACAGCAAGCACGCGTCACCCCACCATTACAGATATTTTCGTGTCGCTATTCTTAGATGGGCAATGGACAATTGGACGTTGGTGTTGCCACCGGAGGCTGTGGTATCAAGCCTTGGTGGGTACCGGTGGTGTTGCGTAATCGCCCGTTGTGCCGTGCAGAGAAGGTCAACTGGTAGCCACAATGAGTGGCGCACCGCCACAATTTGCGGCTGTCTCTGCGCCGGGAGGCCGCTAAACCGGTAGAGCTGGCGAAGGCGCTAGAAGCCAGGCCCTGGCAGTAGTGAGTGACTCTAGGGAGTTCGGACAAAGTTTTCCCTTCTTGTCGTCAATGAGTCAAGGAAAGCCAAGTCTGGTCTTCTCTGGTCTGTCTGATTTCCTAAAAAAAAAAAAAAAAAAAACTGGTTGAGGGTGGTGTATTCCCTGAAAGTCCTTGGAGTTGCTTGCTATTGACTGAACCTTGGAGCGCGCATCACAATGGCTGTGCTAGAATATCCGAGGTTGGCCTTTCTTTCTCACTTCGTAATGCCTGCACACACTGTCGCTTATCCAGCAAACAGATGCAGATCGATCGGTACGTCATCAGCAGACTTAGCCATCCCCAGCCTCTCTCGCAACCCGTCAAAGGTGTATCCGATGGTTATGATTGGGTTGAGAATCGGATCGTGCCATGCAACTAACTGTCTGGAATCTCTCGTCGTCAATTGTATTTTTGGAGCAACCGACTTCGTCGCTACGCGCAGAACCAGCCTCTTGGCGACGTCAAGCTTATCCTGCCTCCTCCACGTACACTCAGCTGTTCAGCTATGTTCAGCTGAGTGGGCAGCAATCCGTTTTGTGCGAAGGCTGGGACAGTGCTTTCCCAAATTCAGCGCTCTCATCAGGATTGGGTCAAGGCTCTCTCGTGACGCTCAATCATCCTATCAATGATTCAATTTTGCTGATGTTATGCAATAGTCACGCCACGGTTGAGGGCTCACTGCCTCTGCGGCGTGACTGGTAAACGTATGACTGCTGCGTGTTTAGTTCCCCGAAATAATACTCCGCAAGTCGCTGTGCATTGAGGCGGTAAATGTTCGTTACAATGAATTCCGCCCATGTACGGAGTATGGGAACCCAAGATACCGCGTAATGATGATCATGTCCCAATGACGCCGCCTCAAACAGCTTCACACATGACTGGTGCAATCACCAGAAATTGCCAGTACATGCACTCCCGAGTCCCTACTATCACGACTATCACTCAATTGGTGTTCTGGGCCGCAACGCCAGCGCTGAGTGATCAGACTGATGCGCTCGGTTTTATTTTCCACCTTAAATCCAAGGCACCACCCATCACCCCTGAACCCTGGCCTGAGGCTCGGGAAACATCCAAGCCACATGTGCACGCTAGGCGAAACGCAGGGCATGAGCTGTCCTGACAAGCTACTGGCCAGCAGCACTGGCCAGCTTGCCCGATCGCAGCAACACCAAGTATCTAATACGACGACAAAACTCCTTCGTCGAGTTGCCCTTCCATCGCCGCCCGGTTCCATACATCTCCCACGACATCGTCGTACTGTCGACCTCCACCATGTCCAACTATTACGGCGGGCAGCCGAATAACCCGCAATACGGCGCGCCAGGAGCAGGCGGTGGCGCCCAAAACCTTCAGTTCTACCCATCGTCATACTCGCCCGCCGTGTCGGGTGCTGCAACCCCTCAACAGGCATCATATGGCTACGGCGCCGGCGCATCCGGGAGCTTCGGGTCCGGCGCCCAAGCTGGCTTCGCGTCGGCTGGCTTCGGCGGCCCAGGCGTATCAGGCCGAATGGGCGAGCACGGCGGCCTGCGGACGGGATGGCTGGCCGCCTTCTCGACAGAGGGATACGACGGCGAGCCCCCCTTGCTGGAGGAGCTGGGGGTTAATTTTGGGCATATACAGATGAAGGTACGTCGCGGCCGGCCGGGCGGCTTTCCAGAGCTGCTGCTGACAAGTGTTTCCAGACGCTAGCAGTCTTGAACCCCTTTAGACACATTGATCAGCACATCATGGACGATTCTGATCTTGCCGGGCCGATCCTGTTTTTCCTCTTGTTCGGCACCATTCTGCTGCTCTCTGGCAAGGTGCACTTTGGATACATCTACGGCCTCGCGCTGCTCGGGTCAACGTCGCTACACATGATCTTGTCGCTCATGTCACCGACCGAGCCGCCGTCATCCGAGTCATATCACCCTCAGTACAATGACCCGTCGTCGCCCCCTCAACACCAGCAGGGCGGCCATTTCTCTGCAACTCTCACCTTTCCCAGGTCAGCGTCGGTTCTGGGGTACTGTCTTCTCCCGCTCGTCGTCACCAGCCTTTTCGGAATCGTCATGCCGATGGACACGCCCCTCGGCATTGTTTTGAGCACTGCCGCCATCATGTGGTGTACGTACAGCGCCAGCGGTATGTTCTGTGCTGTTGGAAGAATGAAGGGCATGAGGGGTCTGGTTGCGTACCCCCTGGCCCTGTTCTACGTCGGTTTCGGCATTATGGGAATCTTCAGCAGCAGAGGCAGTGGGTCATTGGCCAATGCAGCTGCTAAAATAAACGCTTGAAAGGGGGAAGCACGTGGTAGGCACATTTTGCATGATACGGACGGAGTCATATTGGGTGTGGCGAACCAAAATAAAGGGCCGGGGTTGGGAACGTCGGCTAGGGCCAGAATCACATTTTGATGGTTGGAATTAGCAAGCATTTATAAATGCAATGGGGGGAGGGGTTGTACTATATTGCCTGGTGCGGCCCTGATTATGATAACGACAGTGTCAGAAGGATAGGGAGCTGATAGTTCAAGGTCTGGTATATAAAAATAGTAGGCAAGGACAAGATAATTTCACAAAGTATACAAGCATTGTCTCGCCTAAGGCATTTCATAGTTGTGTGTATATGACCGGAAGTCGAATAAGGAGCGAAGCATTAGGTTCTAATCATGTAGCACAATAAAGGGTGTTGGTCACAGCAAGGTGTTTGCTTGTCTCGTGACGTAGCTACAAAAATTGTAGTATTCAGCATGTGCTATGATAATTGTTGCCGTATACTGTGTATCTACTGCTAAGGGGCCTTGATTGAACCACCTAATGGCAAGACAGCATGTATCCAACCTGGAATGTCACAAAGTACACGGAGTAGCATCTTATTATCGTGTTATTCTATCAATAATGTCGTATACGACAGTTCTCTTAAACGAGTAATGGACAACTCCCTATACCAGATGCAAAGTCTGTCTTCAATTCGTCCTCCTCCACCCCGTGCCTCAGTCCGAAACGCCATCTGACCAGCCGCTAGTTTATCCTCGGCGAATGCATAATAGAAGAGTAAAAGTACAATGGATTATCATCAACGATGGTGGTGGCCATGCAAACGTTTACTTTCGTGTGGTGAAGTCAATTTCAAGCGCTGGGTTGAAGCCACCGTCGCGTGCCTTTTCGCAAGTACATCCATCTAGAACGGAGTCAGCATAGGTTCAACCCATAGATTATGTTTTTCCATTTCTTTCTGAATTGGGAGAGAGGCATACCGGCCGGTCTTGAGCCACAGGCACATGTTGCACCAGAAATAGCAGCGTTCTCGGTAGATGCGCGGTCGCAAGTGCAATCGCCGGCAGGTCTGGCTCGGCATGAGCATCGAGGCCCCTCGACCTTGTTCTCTAATGAGGCCTTGTCGCAGGTGCAGTGAAGAGCTGACTGCTTGCCGCAAGAGCAGGTGGCTTTCTGGGCTGGATTGCATCACGTCAGTTCCCATTGCACTGATGAAGCATATTCACGAGGTACTCGACGACATACCACAGGCGCAGACGGCACCGTCCTTGGCGCAGCAGGTGGAAGCCTTGGTGACAGTCATGTTGGTTCAGGGTAAAGGCAAAAAATCGAGGTTGGTTACGGATAATGCGTGGTTTTCACAGCTTGACGTGGTTGAAATTGTTATGGTATGAAAGTTGTCCAGTTCCAAGAACGAAGTCAAGGGACGATCTCTTTATAGATTCAGTAGAGCAGTGATGTCAGTGAGTGGTACGACCCGACCTGACGGGACGGTCATCATAATAGATGGGCAGTGATTGGTTGCTTACCAGCGGATTGGGTAAGCCGGCCAATCAGAGCGGGTGTATTTACAAGCATCTGGTGAGCAACCGGCAATGCCGCCACGTTACCTTGGACTAAAGTGGATCAATTGAGGCTCGTTCCTGCCTCTGGCGTGACACGGCGCAGATGCATCTCAGCATTACATTCGTCCTCATAACGCCGGGTTTGCAAGGCAAGGAAGTCGACCAATTGGTCTATAGGAAACGCGAGCGACGACAGTGGCTGGGCGGTTGAATTCGCATTGGGCGTGCCCTGCAGCTAGGATACCGTCTTGTTGACTCGGTAGGATCTCTCACGCTTGAACATTCGAATTCGGGCACATCTCGCTTGCAGTTTCCTGCAGTTACGAGCTGCCTAGGTCATATCGTCTGCCATCTAATCGTATATATACACATTTAGGAGTCTTTCATAGCGAGGCGGCATCAGCACGAGTTTTGAGCAGAAGCCATGCCAGTTAGCCAATCAGAGCAAGTTTTATGCTTGGTTCTTGCCTGACCGAGAAAACACCGTTTGGGCTGAAGAGTTGTCTACTCTATCCAAGGCTAAGGGCAGAAAGAGAGCAAACGCGCGACAACTGGGGTGAGATGAATTCAAAATGCACACACCCAATGGCGACCGCTAGAGCTGTGCCGGCGAAACTAAAGAGGATAATAGGATTCTTCATGACTTTTGTCAGAGAGGATGGGACGTGATAATGCTAGAGTAGGACGCTCAAAGTTCATCTACAACTTGGCTCATCTTACGCTTCAGCTAGGGGGACCAATACCAAGCGCCTAGTCAACTCAAGCTACAAATCATTTGGGCCAAGGAAAGTGATCCATGACCATAGGACACGCGCTATGGTTGGGGTATGTGACAAATTACACGGACATATTTACCCAGGTTAGTATGCCTGGCTGTAACGTAAAGGAGCAGGATGCCACATGCTAACACACCTTGCTGTCCCCAGACGGCCTATCAGTGCGGGCGAAAACGCGGGGAACCAGCTGCCGACTAAAATTACCGATTGGTTCCGATCTGACGTGGCACGGAGTAGTCTGCGCGTATGTACTCCGTACATACATATGCATCAGGCTTGGCCAGCCATGAAGGCTCAATTAGTAGTGCCACAGGGGTGCTGAGCACGGAGCCAAGCTACCGCAAACAGAAGAGACCCAGGAAACCTATCGAATCTTGACGGCGCTCATCCACTAGAACTGGAGACATCAGTAGCCATTCCGCAGTGCTATACAGCTGCTCTTGTTTACACCGCCGATGATGACGAGTCACGACGACGACGACGACGATGTCGATCGACCGGTCCACTTGGGGCTGGACTGTGTTGTGTCTCCATTCATTAACTACTTCTACAAGTCCTTTGTCGCGGAACGTAACGCCAGACGGGATAGAAGCGGGACGGATTTGGTGTCTTCTGGCCTGTCTCTGAAGGACAACGTTGACCCGTCATCCGTGCCCATAAAGTGTCTTGGTCATCAACTCCAGATGCTAAGACAGACCAGCTCATGTCTCAAAAACATCATCTCAGCCGGCGGGATGGCGCAGAAGAAGGAAGACCGCTAGTCATCCTGCCGCGTCCAACGCCAAGGCTGCAGGATCACCCTCGCTTCCTCATTTCAATCCCATTGCTTTCGGAAGCAGATACATCTTTCCGATGGACTTGATCGACACGCATTGTACTACTACATACAGTCCTTTCCCCGCGTAAAACCACCCTTGTCTAGTTCCGAACACTTAATTTGGTGGAGCAGTCGATCCTGGTTCACAGGGAACCATACGGGGTACTACCAACTCTTTATTGATGGTGTGCCTCCAGAATCAGCAAGAGGCTGATGGCGAATAATCGTCTGGACTTTACTCTTCTGGCCAGATCAAGGCTCTCCCTGTGACAGCAAATTGCAAACCCTTGTTCTACAGCTCTGGCTTGTCGGAACTCCACCCGAACCCCGAGCCTAACTGACAATATGAGGCTTTATCTGGGTCGTAACCGTTGGTGTGCCTCTTCTTTTTTGAAGGCTACTTGGCGGACAAGGTTCCCGAAACATTGGAAATGTGTAGAACTTGGCGGTTGATGATCTGAACTCATCCATTCATATTTCGACAGTCGCCCCCGTCTCCGGCCATCTCGCCTGAGTACTCATCCCATAGATGGAATTTGCTTTGTTCCTGAACAACACTTCTCTGTAGACGCATTCCTCTGTGTCGGTATAGTACCTACTGTTGAACGAGCTTGTTGTTTCTTCAACGTCTTAGTCCACCCGCTAGGACAATGGCTACCGAAAAGCCCGACGACCACGCCGGGCACATAGAGACAACCATGTCCGGGTATGACAGCCAGGGCGCGGATAGAGACCAAGGCCTCAGTTCTGCGACGTCTGAAAAGGCCGCGGAGCGTGGTGAGGTTGCAACAAATGAGTAAGTTTTCCGCCGCATTGACAGAGGCAGTTACGCAACGGCCGCACAGGAGCTTTTCGCCGGGAAACGGCCTCCGTGGTGGATGGTTCTGACGTATAAAGCAGATATGGAGAATCACTGATTCTGTTCGACCCGGTTGCTGAAAGGAAGCTTCGACTAAAGATTGATTTATATATCATTCCGACCGTGGCCGTCCTGTACCTCTTTTGCTTCATTGATCGAACAAACATGGGTATGTGTTTGCAAAAAGACACCAGTGACAGAGTACCAGCTATGATGCTGGGGCCAAGGGCCCTACTACATCAAGATTGAATAAGAATTTAGCCTTGATACCTGGGCAAAAGAAGCTGATTTTGTTGTATAGGCAACGCAAAAATTGCAGGGCTAGAGGCCGAACTCGGATTTACAGGTTACAACTACAACGAAATCATATCAATTTTCTACATATCGTATATTCTTTTTGAAATCCCCGCCAATCTTCTCTGCAAATACATGGGGCCGGGGTGGTTTCTTCCGCTTGCGACTGTGCTGTTCGGTATAGCTTCAGTTGCCACGGCATACGTCCACAACTTCGCCCAAATGGCAGGCGTGCGGTTCCTCCTGGGTGTCTTTGAAGCCGGCATGCTGCCAGGCTGCGCATACTATCTGTCAAGGTGGTATCGCAGGTCAGAGCTTGCATTCCGCTTGGCGCTTTACATCATCATGGCCCCCCTTGCCGGCGCGTTTGGCGGGCTTCTTGCCTCGGCGATCCTGAATCTGGACAGCTTTGCCAACTTGCATAGGTGGCGCATGATATTTGCTATTGAGGGCATCATCACCATTGGTCTGGGCCTCGTTGCGCTCTTCACCCTCACGGACCGACCGGAGACGGCACGCTGGCTTACACCGGAAGAGAAAGAGATGGCTACGGCTCGTGTCAAGTCGGAGCGGGTTGGCCAGACGGCTGTGTTGGATAAAATTGCCACGAAGAAGCTCGTTCGCGGAATCCTCAGCCCCGTCACCCTGAGCACATCATTCATCTTTCTTCTCAACAACATCACCGTACAAAGCTTCGCCTTCTTTCTCCCGACTATCGTCAGGACAATTTACGGATCAAAGAGTACCATTCAGCAGCAGTTACTAACCGCGCCGCCGTACCTCGTAGGGGCCGTGTTCATGATTCCCTTCCCCCTGTTAAGCTGGCGAATGGACCGGCGACAAATCTTCATCACGCTATCGGCCCCATTGGTCATGGTCGGGTATTGCATGTTCCTCGGATCCACGGCGTCGTCTGTCCGGTACGCAGCAACGTTTATCATCGCCATGTCAACCTTTACCAATGGTGCCATGTGCAGTGCCCAGGTGTCTGCGAATGTTGTCAGCGACACGGCCCGAAGCTCAGCCATCGGAGCTAATGTGATGTTTGGAAATATTGGAGGGCTGCTTAGCAGCTGGGCCTTTCTACCGTGGGACGCTCCGAATTATCACATCGGCAACGGGCTGAATCTGGCTGCCGCGGGCACGATTTTTATTGTCGCGTTGCTGACACACTTGTGGATGAGATCTGATAACAAGAAACGCGCCACGCGCGATGCTGATGAGGAACTCAGAGGTCTGTCACAAGAGGAAATCGAGGATTTGGACTGGAAACATCCAGGCTTCCGGTGGAAGCCTTGAAACGGGACTGAATGCGTATCAAGGATCGATACTGGTGGTGTACTTGATATGTATTTTTTCGTATTTAGATATGGCATTAGGTCGCCTCTCAATTCAACGAGTACAAAGACAATACTCTTGCCAAAGAATAAAAAACATCCATGCATATGTCGTGCTACCTCGGGGTTGCACCTTCCAGATCACGGCATCGGCATTCGGGTTATCCGCGCGAGTGGGGTCGACGTCGGAATAAGCTCGATAGCCTCACAAGTCACCTTCATGGCAACATCGGAGCATCTTGCATTTAAAAGCGGTGCGGTCCCTTGTAATCCATCTTGAAAAGGACAGAGATTCTTCCTTAACTGAGCGAGGCCTACACAAAACCTAGATTGCTGGTCGTCCATCCGCTCAACATATTGCAGCGACATCTGCAAGACTGCAACCATGGCTCCGGCTCCAATCCCAACAATCATCATCATCGGGTAAAGTAGCATCACGGGACCAGCGAAGCGCCTGCCAAACTAACAAGGCACATCTAGCGCCGGCGTCATCGGTCTCTCGACTGCCGTAAACTTGCAGCGAACATTGAAAGAGACCATGGGCCCCGATCTACCCCAGATTCTCCTGGTGGCCCGAGAATGGCCGGGTTCGATTCCAGGAGCCCCCCATCAACACTCGGTTGATTACGCCTCCATGTGGGCGGGCGCCCATGTT